ATGAACAATTTCAAGGCCTGGCGTACGGGAAAAGGAACGGACGATAGGCACCAGAGCCTCGTGCTGTGAAAGATGCTGTCTTGTGCCCCCCAAAACATCTTGCCGTTGCGCACTGGAAGACGGGCAAGAAACAGCAGTGGATCAAGTCGGCTGTGATCTTGGCTCGCGGGGGAAGTACATAGTAGAATCAGTGCCGTAGTGATGGGCATTAGTGGCGGGTTCGTCCCAGTTCAGTCTGGCTTATTCGAACGTTGAGGGGTTGTTGACGACAGAAGACTGCCGGACGCGAAACCGGAGGAGAGTCCAAAAGGATGGAGCCTGTGGGTGTGGACATGCGCAAAGAAGTGGGAGGGAACCCAAGAGGGCTGCAGCAACAGCGAGACTGGAGAGTGCTCAGAAGACTGGGGGAGGGGAGATGGCGTCCTGTTGCCAAGAATCGCCAAGCCATTTCATGTTGTTGAGTTTGGAGAGTCGACGTTGGTTCGCAGATTCGGTCTGGAAGTCTGGAAGCCTTTGGCCTAAAAAGGGGGCTGACCCATGCTGTCCCCGGTTACCCCATGAGCCCCCCGGTCGGGACAGACGCGTCCCTGTGGATATCCTGGTCTCGTGCAGGGCAGGGAAGCACATCCATGGTCGAGGTCGGGTTGGATGCAGATATGGTATTCTGTCACCTGTATCCGTACGTACAGGGCACCGGATGCAGGAGCGAACGAGAGATTGAGGGCTCTCCGTCAGCGTCGTATTAATCACTCTCTGATCTGTATTTCGTCAGCAACCAAGCGACCGGCCAGATCCTCAGCCAGTCAACGCTGGCGCCGTCAGAAAGTATCCAATCACGGCCAGGAAGCGCAGCCATGCATCTGGGACGGGTCCTCGGTTCGGACATGGCAGCGACCTGAGGTTGGGTACTTTGGGGTTGCAGTTCTGCATCTGGACCAAGTTTGCGAGGTGAGCAAGAGGTGGTTGATAGTAGGTGTGTACTTTGTAGGCGGCGGCGGCAGGGTGCGGTGCAGAGTCAGCAAAGCAGCCTGAAAAGATGCCGATGGTGAAAGCGAGGCGTTTTCATATTGGCAATTGGAGTCCCGAATAATGCTTGCTGGACCGGTTTGCTGCCTCGAGGAAGGAAGGAGCCATCCATCAGCAATTCAGCCGTGCGAGTTGCTGCAGGACGAGGAGGACACGCTCCTTCCATAATCTCAGTTCCCGAGGGTTTGACTGGACGAACCGGTCCCACTGGGTTGGAGCGATGTGGAACCGAGCTTCGCAACACTGGCCATTCAGAGCTCATGGTTATCTCAGTCAGCGCTTTCGACAAATGGAGCTCCCCCAAAAATGAGGGCGGGTGGGCGTTCTCGACCCAACGTGCCTAAACTTAAACCTAATCTGGCGGGGCAGCACCAGTCAAAATCTTGGGGTAACGATACGTACCTCCGTACCTATCTATGTATCTTATCTTACCTACCTACCTAGGTACCGTCGTACACCATCCACCTCTCTCACGTCTGTGAGCTTCAGGTCAGTTCGTGCTTCCGTCGCCATTCTCAGTTACACTACAGGCAGTTGGTCCTGTCACCAGCAAGTGTGGCGGACGCTAGGGCCGAGGGAGCCTCTACCTAACATGCAGTGTTGAGGGCGTGTGTATTTACCTTAACCTGATTTACGTTTCTTCTCACGTATCCGCTGCGACAGCCAGCTGAAGCGCCTTCATCAGCCACGTTTCCCTGACCCAAGCTCCCCTGTTCGTATCCAATGTCGTTCTTGTCTTACCGCTGATCAGTCAGCTACAACAACGCGGTACATACTAATTAAGGTGCCTACCGTAGGAAACGAGTCCAAACCAGCATCGGGCAACGGCCCCTCCCCCATCTTTTCCAGCTCCAGACCTCCACTGGCCCCGAATCCCCAGGAAAAGGGACCTCAGGTTTCCAAAGCAGCCCGCGAAATGCGGGCGTACCCCGTGTCCTGTCAAAACATGTGCCTGCTTTGCCTGCGCAACAGTTGGCGGGGAACGGTGGCGGAGCAGGCTAGTCTGTGCCAAGCTGTCGGAAACTCGGTCGTGCTGCCTGATTTGGCTCGATTCGTCCGGGGTCCTGCCAGCCAAGACTTTTAGACGACATCAACGACCACGTCCTCATCCTGTCCTCATCTTTTCCCCTCCATGTCCACGACATCTTCCACCGCCTTACCTCGCAGCCATCCTTCTCTCCCATCGCCGCCTACATCCCATCCCGTGTGCGCCCAGCACCGTGCCTGATGTCTCTCCCGCCTTGACTGCATTCACCAGCTTCATTCCTCGTGGCGTCTCCCCTCCCCTCGCTACAAGCCTGTTCCCTTACCCGCCCATCTCCCTGCCATCGTGCGCCCCCGAATCTCTTGTCCATGTATCACCAAGTGTTTGGCTTTCTGATTGAGGATAATATTCCATTCGACCGGCGCTAATTTTCTCTAGCACTCTGGTACACGTGGCTGTAGGTTCAGCCAAGAACTGTCTGGCATGCCTCTAATCGCGACGGAATATTACCCGTCGTCTGTGTGACTCTTGGTGTCTTGGTGGCTGCCAGCACGAGAGGGAACGTCTTTGTCGTCTCGGTGGAAAGGCACCGTGGCATAGACTCTCTTGGCTGCGGCATCCCGTGCTCTGGGATCAGGAACCGTGTCCTCGAAGCTTGAGCTTAGAAGCATCCCCAATATCCGGATACCGAGAGTCTATGCCGTCACACACCCACATATGGCGAAGGCATTGTCATCGCAGAGAACATCGCGATGGATGGAGTTGTAAAGGCCAAGCTAGGTGGCACTGCAGCCTTGGCTCGCGGAGCGGGGAGTTCGGATGCTCGCGTCTCTCGTAGCACCGTCCAGGCCCATGTCTCTCGCGCATGCCTGCGTTGTCTTGCATCCAACATTTCTGGAGCTTACGATGTCTCAACCAGCAGTATGGTTCGCGAAATACTGCTTTCCTGGCTATGGCGAATTTGAGGAGCCCACAGGCCAATGTTACCCTCCGGGCTGGATAGCCGCATTCCGAAGCCTGTGAAGTACTTCTGTCGTTTGTGGAAAATCCGGTTGCATATACGGTACCATAGATGCAGAACCGCGTCCATGGCCAAAGGAAGGAACAGTCCGATAATATCATGGGGATTGGGTAGCACGCCAGCTGCTTGGGCCCTGACATATGCTCTGTGGAGCATGGGATGGGATGGGATGGGATGTGGGCAAGGGAGAAGGGTTCTGCCTGTGTTCGTTGAAAACGCTTTGGCCAGCACTACTTCTTGTGAAGGAGACTAGCGACAATCTTGCCCCAAAACCTCATTTCAAAAAAAACGAGAGTCCTCGAGGTCCATATCCACTCACCCGAGCTGGAGGCATGGTTGGGGTTGGGAGATTCTAGCTTGGCCCTCTTGGCGGCTGCACTTTCACGGGGTAAAGAGGTTGAGGCCAGGCGGAAGAAATCAGATTGGTATGCGGGGGAAAGATTGGATGCGGAGCATGCCCCCATAGATTGTTTGGGGAAGTTGGGACTGCCAACCCAGGGAGGGACTTTGGCGGGACACTGACTGAGTGGATGAACGGGGCCGACAGACATGGGATGGGTGGCAACGATGCGGCCGTTGGCTTGCTTTGGATGTGGATGTGTGACTCTTCTTCCATGATTACACTGTTCGTGCCCCAGAGAGACCTGAAGCCCTCGTCAACTCGGCACCAGACTATGTATGTGTGACACAGCTGACGGCGCTATTCTGGTTGATGGATTATGAACAAACGGTCGTGTCCGCCGGTGATTGTCCAGATATCTTGGGCAAATCTATGATTATCTTGAACGCACGCTACTGCTGCGCGCCCACCGCATGCTTCGGTGGTCATCAACGTCGTCGCGCCGCAGCAAGTACCTAGGTAAGGTAGGGATACATGGCCTCGACGGCGGGACTGTCTCAGCTGCACTAAGGCGAGATAGGCGTGGCGCGCGGGTGGTGTGCGGCGCCGGGCAGCCTATGACTGGCCCGGACGCGGCCGCTCAAGAGCCAAAACGGGATAAGCTGACAGGATCCGAATCCTGAGAAGCGGCAGAGTAGCAACGCTCTAGCTCGCAGTCTCGGGGATGAGGTAGCGAACGGTGCATGTACATACTTGCAAAGGTACCACGCCTTACAGACTGACCGCAGAAATGACCAGGCCTTGGGCTGCTTCACATACAGACACAGAGAAGGGACAGACAGACCCTGGTCAGGTACCTAGGTAGGAAGAAGGTAGGGGTTGCTTGTAACCAGCCCGGCGAGACATCCGGACCTTTTTTTGCTATTCTCTTTACTTTTTTGCTTTCCCACAACCATGAATTTTGAGCAGTTTGCCAAGACATTAGACAATATGGATATATGGATGGGGTTGGTGCCATCGGATTCATTTAAAGAGGAGAGCTTCGTCCGGGGTCCTATCTTGCTCTCACGGATCTCTCCTGCCTCTCTTCTTCTTTTCTCATGCTCGATCTGCGCCGCTCTTGCATCTGCACCTGCTTTCGCATCTGCTCTTGTAACTGATCGCCCTGTTCATTGTTCATCTCTCTCGCGATCAAGGTCAAGTGAGACAGAAGGAAGACGATAAGTCTCGGGCTTCATCCTTTCCCCTCCGCCATCCCTAGGCCGAGCCGCCCTTCTCAACAATACCAACGTCTCGTCTCATTTGGCCAGAGTGCCAAATTTGTAAGCCCGAAGCTTGCATCGCTCTGGAGCCCCGGATAACTGCAGCGGCCCTACTCAGCTGCATTCTCGTCACCTGAAGAGGCGCTCATCTTGATTGGCCTCCGAACTTCACCTGGCTCTCTTTTCCGAGACACCCAGCAACATTCGTGTGAGCTGTCTCGCGCTTCGTCAAAGCACTTACACGCACTCGAATCCTTCCCCCGTCAAGTGTCGGCCACTAATCTTCCGGCGCTCCCCCGATATTCTGACGTCTCGCTCGTCGCAACCTCATTTTTCAAAACGTTGCGCCTCTGAATAACCCTCAAAATGTCATCAACTTCTGAGAAGGACACCAAAACCCAGGGCGTCATCGACCCCTCGATCGAGGTCGAATATGTCAGCGATCCCGAGAGGAGCGGCTTTGACCAAGCCGCTACCAAGAGGCTGTTGCGCAAGATGGACTGGGCTCTCATCCCCTTCCTCGCTCTGCTGTATTTGCTGTCCTTCCTGGACCGTACCAACATCGGAAACGCTCGTCTTGCCGGAATTGAGACCGACTTGGGCATGAAGGGTCTCGACTACAATGTTGCACTCTCCGTCTTCTTCCCCTGGTACGTGGCCGCTGAGATCCCCTCCAACTTGGCCATGAAGCGTTTCCGCCCCTCCATCTGGATTCCCTCCATCATGATTGCCTGGGGCATCTGCTGCACCCTAATGGGTCTCGTTCACAACTACGCTGGTCTCCTGGCTGCGCGCATGGCTCTCGGTCTTGCTGAGGGTGGTCTGTTCCCCGGCATTACTTACTAGTAAGTGTGAAAACACTCCAGAACCCCCCAAAACTCATCTGACGAAATGATCCCCAGCATCACAATGTGGTACCGTCGTCACGAGTGCGGTTTCCGTATGGCCATTTTCTTCTCCGCTGCTACCGCGGCCGGCGCCTTCGGAGGTCTTCTCGCTCGCGGCATCGTCGAGATGAAAGGCGTCGGCGGCAAGCCTGGCTGGGCCTGGATCTTCATTCTCGAGGGCATCATCACTCTCGCTGTTGGTAAGCACACTGGTTCTTTCTTCCCTTGGTTGCTCCAAGACTAACGAGGTTGCTCTTTCTCAGCCGTTGCTGCATTCTTTATCATGAACGACTACCCCGCTACCGCGAAGTTCCTCACCGCCGCCGAGAAGGAGGAAGTCACCCGCCGCCTCGAACAGGACCGTTCCGCTCTCGCCGACGAGTTTGACATGGCTTACTTCTGGGATGCGCTTAAGGACTGGAAGATCTGGGTTCACATGGTGGGTAGCAGTTGGCGCAGAAGCTTCAATCCGTCTGGATCGCATCGCTAACCTATGTTCTCACCAGCTCATCACCATCGGGATTTACACGCCCTTGTACTCCTACTCTCTCTTCCTCCCGACTATTGTTCAGGGTCTGGGTTACACCAACAACACTGCTCAGCTCATGGTAAAGCAAGCCCTTCAGCAACTCAGTTGACTCATACTTACCATCTGTAGACCGTCCCTCCTTACGTCGTGGCGTGCGTCTGCTGTATCAGCGGAGGCTGGTTGGCTGATCGTCACCGACAGAGAGGTATCTACATGATCTTCTTCTGCGCTATTGGGTAAGTTACGCCTCAGTCCTCTGATATCACACACCAAATCCTAACGCTGTCAGCATCATCGGCTTCATCATGCTTCTCGCTTCTCAGAGCAACGGTGTCAAATACGCCGGTTGCTTCTTTGCTGCCTCTGGCATTTACCCTAACGTGCCCCAGGGTGTTGCCTGGAACGGCAACAACATTGGCGGCTCTGTCAAGCGAGGTGTCGGTATCGCCATGCACGTTGGCTTCGGCAACCTCGGCGGTGCCATCGCCGGTTTCCTGTACCAGGCCAAGGACAAGCCTCACTACTACCCGGGACACGGCACCCTCCTCTCGACCATGACGATGTCCATGATTCTCTCCACGTTCATGACTATCTACCTGCGCCGCGAGAACGCCCGCCGAGACCGCGAGTACAAGGACCCGAGTCAGTACACCGCTGAGGAGAAGGCTGCCGAGCGGACCAAGGGTGACAACGCCACCTTCTTCCGTTACACCGTTTGAGAAGACCGTGTTTGTTGTTTCGATTTAGCGAGTATTTGCTTTGCAAGTTGGTTGGATTCTCATCTACTCTTCAATGGAATTGTGAACGATGCGACGGCAGCCCACGTGCGAGGGAAGGAAGGGTCATGAGTGAAAATGAAAGACAATCGGGTACCCTAAGTGGCTATAGAATTGCATCACAGGAGTCAGAGGAATATCCATGCCGAATGAGTTCTTAATGAACATGAGTTCTTAATTGTCTCGACCTGTTTTGAAGTCAATCTTCGTCTCCATCCACCAGGCGTTCTACATTCACTCATGCCATTAAACAAGTCTCCGTTAAACTGTATAGCGAGCGGAGGGTTGTTCACTAACATGCCATGAAATCCCTCGTGAATACACCCCGAGGACGAGTTCTTCCTTTCCAGCAGCAGCCTCTGTCAACACCGCTGTCTCTTGCTGTCGCAGAACCATCAAGAAGCCTCCTCATCAGACAGATAGATGTCCTAGTGCGATGAGGATGGGACTGTCTTGGCCCACTTGGCCTTCTCCATCTCTTTCTAGCCATCGAGGCATGCTAGTCATATGAAGTTAATACAACCCGCGCCAGTGGCTGAGCCACAGCTTCTACTTATGGTGCTACCCGATGACGCCTTGCAAAACAGAGCTTGGCCCCGTTTGCTAGTGTCCTCGACGGCGCCGTGCCTGTGAGTTATGCTTAACTCTTGGCATCTAACATCCGTTCCCCCGAAACGTGGGGTTGATGGGGGCAGGTGGGGTGCGGTAGCTTCGACGCAGGCACTAATGTCGGCCGGTTGGCGCCGGCGGAAGGGGAGGCCAATTCCGTGGACCTGGGGCCAGCCGACTTTGGTTTCGGCTGGCTCTTGACAGGTGTCACGCATACATGTGTGCGTCAGGCAGTGTGCTGGATCTTGCTGCCCACGCGCGGAGTGCGGTGGATCGTGCAGTGGTTCTTCTTTGACAGGCCTCAGTGTTTCGCGGGGTGAGCAGGGTGGTTCCTTGTCTCTGGCTGGGGGTGGAGGAGGATGGGTGCAGAGGGATCTGATCTGGGCCGTGTGGTTTTTGATGGCTGACTCCGGACCCAGGGACTCGGGACTTTGTCGTATGATGATTGCTGTTCGGGCGGTGTCACCAACGTCATTTCATCTACCTCGCCTTGAGACCCAGGGGCCACACCATCACCCCGTTTGTGCCATATTCCATGGTTTGGCCATTTCCGCTGTCATTAGCGCACTTGTAATCTCGATCTATGGAATCCAAATGTGACTCACATAATATGCCTCTAATCATAGACCCTGTTCCAGCCCAAAAGATGTGGGCAATAATATCAGGTTCACTAGCGAATTGGCCTCTGGTGCAGGATGAAAGCTTCTCTGGATATTTGATCAAACTCACTACGTGGACGAGAGAATCAGATATTGCTAGATCGATTGGTGGAAGACAAGATGCCTTAGGCGTAGAAGACGACCAGCAGTAGGAAGTGTTTTTAAGGCACGATTATCCCTTGACCATTATTCAATTATCTGCCATGAGATTTCCCCAGTGAAAAGAAAGCAAACGTTTTCGACAGAACAACCAATTAACCTGGTGGTTAATTCTATCGTGGTATTCGAACATAAGTTTTCCATCCATCCTTATTTTGAAAAGCTAGAAGATTACACAATGTGATAGACAATTATGTATACAATATCAACTGAGAGCCTTTCACTTCTCGCCCTTCGTCCCTGAGATCAAGCCACTCTCGCTGTGCTGAACAGTGGCCTTCGGTTGCACGTCATGGTGCTCGTGATGATCATCAACCTCGTAAAGCGCGGGGAAAGGAGACACATCCCGTCGTAACAAGTACTTGTTCACATACCAAGGCATCTTGGAAGTGTAGTACTTTGCATGGTCCCTGTTGCGCACCGAGAAGACGCTGTCGAGCTCCTCCAGCGTCAGGTTCTTCGTCTCGGGCAGGAAGAAGTACGCGACGACAAAGCCAAAGAGGTTCCAGCAGGCGTACCACAGGAACGCGCCCGTCGGGGTGAAGGCCTTGGACATGGACGGCCAGGAGAAGCTGATGATGAAGTTGAAGCCCCAGGTCACGGCCGTGGCGCTGCTCATGCCGATGTCGCGGATGTGCAGCGGGAAGGCCTCGGCGCAGTACGTGAACGGGACCGGCCCGGCTCCGGGGGAGTACACGGCGGCGAAGATGTAGATTCCGGTCGCGATGCAGGCGAGCTTTGCGGTTCCTTCGGGAATGTAGAAGCTGAAGCCGGTGAAGATGAGGGAGAGGGACATTAAGGGGAAGGTGACCAACAGGAGCTGCGTGAAGGTTAGTAATTTGTCTGCCAGACCTAGAAATGAACTTACGTTTCTTCTTCCGAATGTGTCGATGGTGTAGAAGGCGGGGAGGGCGAAGAGCCAGTTGATGAGGCCCATGCCCATGCTGGTGAGCAACGCCTCAGACCTGGTGAAGCCTCCATCCTGGAAGATGGCCGTGCTGTAGTACATTCTGTGGATATGTTAGCCTTCTGATCTGTGACTTCTTTCAATTAAATCATGTGCGCAGGCAAATAGACTGCTGTTCCCGGCGAATATTCCCCGGGGGAGGGGGGAGTTCCTCGGACCAAAGCTCCACCACCGGCCCCATCACCGGTGCCGGGTGGGTCACATAATCGGCCCCATCGGCTTCTGAGCCCCGGCTCCATATTCTGAAAAGAGGATACGAAAATACCAAAAAGGGTAGGAAAGTACTAACACAACATTGATTCCACAGAACTGTCAAATAATTCCTTAGCATGAAGACTTTGGGAGTGCCGATCCATCACATACCTGCTGCATGAACATGACAAAGTAGGAAAACGTCGCAGCGCGTCTGTTCCTCCGGACAGTGAAGAACTCCTTCCAGTTACGGCCACTACGGGCCTGGGTCTCGACTTCGAGGAGCTTGTGTGCATAGTACATGTCTCGGGTGGCCTGGATGACGTGCTTGCGCAACCGGCGTACAGACCTGAAGGCCTTGTCGTACTTGCCCTTCTCCATGTACCAGCGCGGGCTCTCGGGGCAAAAATAGACCTGTTGATAGAGAGTCAGAAAGGGAAGATGTACACAGATGGAGGTTAATTACCTGGCACATTACAAGCAGTGGGGGAAGAGATGTACTTCCAAGCATCCAGCGCCACTGCGTGTCTTCTCCGAGGAAGTCGGTGTGGCGGAACGCGACTGAGACGATCAATCCAAGGGCAATTCCGAAAGCTTCGACGTGTTAGTCAAACATACTTTTCGAGATCGCGGTGATATCTGTACCTGTCCACATTTGCCACATCATGGTCAATGCCCCACGAATGGTTTTCGGTGTACTTTCAGCGCTGTACACAGGTGTCGTGCTGCTTTTTGCGCCAACTGCGAGACCGAGGCCGAGGCGAGCGATGAAGAGATTGTACCATCTGCCACTTGTGTCAGTTACAGCCAATATTTACGATTTGGAGAGGGACCTCACGTGTCGGCGGCAGCCATCCAGAATCCCGTTACGACGGAAAAGAAGCATGAGATGAAAATAGTTCCGCGCCGGCCAGTCCATTTATTGAGATAAGGACTCGTCCAACATCCGAAGAGAGCACTGCAAAGGTATGGGGCTACGTGGATTTGTCAGAACATGTACTACTCTGCATGATTCGGGTGAAAGCATACCGCCGTTGATCAGGCCCTGCATCAATGGGTCTGTAATGTTGAATGTCGTGTAGTAAAACTCCTGGGCTCCGTTGACTGCCGTCTGGTCCATGCCCTGCACAATGGCCGATCCGGCGCACAGGGAGCAGAGGAAATACAGCATGAACGGCTGATCCCATCGGTGGTTGACCTCTCTCCGGAGCATTGCCTTTTCTTCCTCGTTCAGAGCCGTGATAGTCTCGAAGCCATCGGGGCGGTTGCTGGCCTGGGCAACTAGGGCGCCCTTTCGGAATTCTTCCTTGTATTCGGTTAAGCCGTACTTATCGGTGAACGTGTCGACATCTTTGATGAGCTCGTCGTGACTCAATCCCACCAAGGGGTTCCGGAGCAGGGCGGCGGTGGAGCTTCGCGCGGCTTTGTCTGGAGGGCCATCACTCCCCGACGTGCGAGTGCCGGTGTGGAGGTCATCCGCCGGAGGGGACTCCGTGTCTACCTTGAAGGGAGGCATTACGACAGATCAGAGGACTGTGTACCAAGCAATATTGCAGAGATGCAAGTCTGTTTGGTGGGTCAAGTCTTAGGAAGCAACAATGATCATGTAGGAGCAGAAAAGAGGGGAGTATGGAGAAGAGGAGGGATGAAAGGTGTTTATAGACATCCAACCCCATGGGCATTACCCTCCTCATGGTATCGACAAGACGTTGCATGTGGGCCCCCTGTGCTCCAAGATTGAGGGGTCTTTCTTGGTTCATGATGGCATATACGGCCGGGCACCAATCTCTGCGTTCAACGAGGATGGAGGAGTGGAACGTCCAAGACTGGAGTCTGGGGAGTCGGCGGTCAAGTCGAGGCTGCATACTGGTCCATCTGACCATCGCTTGGTCGAATATGTGCGGGAGTTCTGTTCAAGCCAAGGAGTGTTTAGTGGAGCAAGGCGTTGCCTCCTGCACATGGACGACCTCGACGGCGGTAACACCGTGTAACATCTCGTGCTGGTTGACCACCAGGAAGGGAAATGTGGTGGGTCTTTCGCCCATTCAGAGAGACGGTAAGTGAAGTTGCACCCGGCATATTCTACGCGCGTTGCCGCATTTCCTGCACTTTTAAAGCCGAGATGACGTCGTCCAACATTTGGTGTTCCAAACTCTCGATATTGTGCAGCCCTGTTGCCATGGAAGTTCACTTGCAAACTGTCAACAAACACACTCGGGTCTTGAGCTGCTCCAACAGTGAAGCTTTCTACTACATGCACGATATGAGTGACCACGGCGAACGTTGACCACACTAAGGTAGCCAGACCAGATGCTGGCCAGCCGCGTCGAAAACCAGACGTCAATAGTGTCTCACGGCCGGTCAGCCTCCAAGACGGCCGCCAAGGCGACGTTGATGGCAGTCGGGTGATGATCAGCGGCACCGCCAAGCGGACCTCGTGCTCGGCGGCGGGGCCTCCGACTTTGAGGACGCAGTAAGCGGCCGTACGAGAGGTAGAAAATCGGTAGACCCCCTGGACACGGTCTCGGCGCGCGGCGCGGCACTCGTCACACCCGCGGGATTAAACCACCAGGAGCCGGACATTGTCCCCTGCTTCGACTTTTCGAGCCGCCGGAAGCCTCGCCTTCTCGATGAAAAGTTTGCAAAATCTTTCAATCGCCTGGCACGGTATGACTTCATACCAAGCCTTCAGCAAGCCTGGGCCGTAATCCTTCCGGTCGCTCGACGGCAACCTCGATTACATGCTACAGCGCGCTGCAGGATTCTTCCCGATAGTTTGCGCGCCTTCTTGCTTACATCGCAGTTCTGGCAAACAAATACCGAGACGTCTGCTTGCCTCCCTTGAGCTTCCGTGCGGCGTCGACTGATCCATGTCCGAGTCGCACTTCATGAAATCGTCGCCATAATCCTTCTGTCGTCATTCGTGTTCGTTGATCAGCTGGCGATTAATCGGCGATTGAGGGGTCGACGACATGTGATGGCAAAGTGTCGCGTGTTGTTGGGCTCGGGTTTCCTTCCGCGGTTGGCCGCGGCGATCTTGGTGCTCTTCATGGTGCTCCTCTTTCATTCGTTTGCGATCCAGTGGCGACCTACTCCAAGTCTAGCGCCAACAGTTGTGAATGGCATTGACGAGCCGCGACAAGACGCTTGCCCCCACCCCAAGATAACACCAGAGGCTTCTTGGTTTCCTTCCTTTGGGATGGCCATTGAGTGAAGCCCCTGGCTCACCCTGAGCCGAACATTGACCGAGGCAGCAAATCGACTTGGACGAGAGGAGACTGCTTGCGGTTGGCGATCGGAAACGGTGCGGAGGACGACGGCTTGTGAATTCATCGACCCTGGCCGATTCAATCAGAATAACCATGTCGAATCATTCAATTCAACCAATGACATCTGTCGGATTCGATTTATTGTCTTGGTTGGTTATTTTTGTCGATACTGCGGTAAGGCTGTTGTTGGCGATTGCGGTGCGACGCATTCATCGGCTGTTGTCGGTCCGCCGATGCGATGGACGTAGAAACTTGAGAGAGACAGAACGATTTCAAATCAATGACTGGGAGATCTGAAGCTACATATAATCAAGAAAAGTGGAGGAAGTCTGAATCTAATTCGCATCCCGAGTCAAGCGCCGATGGTTTCTGTCGCTCGTTTGGAAGTTGGAGACACAACAGGGTGAGGGGAATTTCAGGACAGCCGCCTTTGGCGATGGCCGCAGCAAAGACGCAGCTTGGCAGTGTAGATACTGGGTATGCATCAATCCACTCACCCATGCAACAGCATCATGCAGCTATCCGCCTAAGTGCAATACCACCTCCCTTGCGCCTCAATATCTTCTAATCCAGACGCTCCCTTCACGTTCGCTCAGCCGTGGCTGAATCAACAGCATGTTAGTGGCCCGACGACTCCTTTCATCTTCTTTCGGCCGTCTTAGATTTCAGCTGCTCAGTGCGACCAAAATGTGACGTTTCACCTCTTATCATGTCAAGTTTCCTCAGTCACAATGGCCGAAGCATCGAAACCCCCGCCGAAGCGGCGGATGAGAGTGCAAAAGTCGTGCACCGAGTGTCAAAAACGCAAGCAAAAGGTGAGAGATCGCCGTGCTTTCAAAGTCAATCCAGCTCGGCCCGGACTGTGCGATCCACCCATCTGCCTTACCGTCTGAATCGGTGTTAAGAACAAGGGGTTGCAGTGCATAATCCGACGGCCAGATGCCCCCTGCGTGAACTGCTCGAGGCGCTTCCCTCCGGTGGAGTGTACCATCACGCAGGTCGAGTCGATCCCGAAGCCCGCCTATGAGGACCAGGTCCTCACCTTTGAGCTGTCGTCCTTCTCTGTGGGGTCCGGCAAACGACCCGAGGACTCGTTTGCGAATCACACGTCTGCGCGCTTGAAAGCTCCAGGACCCGTGGCTCTGCAGACGCAAGCGAAGGAAGTCGGCAAGAAGCCTGGTGCTCGTGGGGGTTCTTCCTGGACGGACTCTAGGAGATCGTCCGAAGAAAAGCGACAGGAGAATGAAGCCATCATGGCGAGGGCGCGAGCCCGGGCCAACCTCTTCCTCGACGGAAACGGCGACCCGATGGCCTTTTTCTACAACAGTCCCACATCCATCGGAGGCATTCTCACCGAGGTGACAACGCTCAATGGGATGCCGCTTCCTCAAGGTCCCAGAACCACGGAGCTTCTTCACTTCTGTTAGTTGATGAGCTGCACTAATGACTCGCATCCTGGCTAATGGGACTGTGTAGACATCCAAGTCGTCGCTCCCAACATGGTGTCAATCGACGGGCAAAGCCAGCCTCCCGTGTTTCTGGCAGAGGTTCTTCCGTGGATGCTTCAGTCACCGCTGTTTCCAAACATTGGTATTCTCATGTCGTCGACAACTCAATCGTTGGAGCATGGGCTGGAGATCACCAAGAATCCAGAATCACTGGCCCTGAAAGCTCACGTTTTGTCAATCATCGCTGAGTACATGGAGCGCCCGTTTGACGCAATCGCCGTGGAGATGGTACGAAGCGTTGTGAATCTGGTGGTCATGGAGGTAAGTTTGCAAGAGACTCGCACTCTTGCTTCTTGGTGTGGGATACAGAAGAAAAAGCTCCATCAAGGACACGACTAATTGTTGCAGTGGTTCTGGGGCGCTGACGAGAGCATGTTTGCTCACATGAGAGGCATCAAACGCATGATCAAGCTGCGCAATGGGATGAGAGGGCTGAAAGACATTGTGGGCGAGTCGATCATGATTTTGTAAGACCGCAATGAGCACCTTCAGAGTGCCGCCGCAATAATACTCACGATCGATGACCAGGACCGACTATGAGATTGCATGCTGCTTCGAGACCGACCTCTACTGGCAGGAATACGACCCGGTTCGGGACGAAGAAATACCAGTTCCAACGACGTGGCCGGACGGGTACGACAGCCCACTGCTGGCTTCACCGACAAGCTTCGAGAGTGTTGCGGAGACGCTTGGGTTGTGCGTGGAAGCAGCGCGAGTGCTCGACGACGTGCGTTTTCTCACGATGTCGGTGACCTCGGCGGCGGCAGGGTTGGCGACAGGAGGAAGCCCGAAGATCCGAAGCACGGCATCGTGGCTGTACGATAAGCTGGGAAATTTGGGAGCGTCACGTTCGCGGCCCACAGAAGCCAGCTCAGAGGCGGACTGGGTGCTTGAGACAGTCAGGCTCGCGGGGCTGATCTACAGTTGGGCGGTGAGGTCTCTCCGCCAAATTTCAAAGTTTGACGATCAGGAGGTGCTGGAAGACGCGTACATGGCAATGCGACGGGTGAGTCTGGTGACCTGGAAGAAGATTCCGGGGGTCTTCTTGTGGATCATGTTGGTGGCGGCACCCAACGCGGGAGCGGACGCCAAGGGCAGGTTCGTCCGGAGGAAAATGGCCGTGACCGGGCTGTCGATCGGGTTTGAGGACTTTGTGCTCGGGATATCGTATCTGAAATCGTTCTGGGCGGTCCAGCAGTGGATCGCCAAGGAGGGCGATGCAGGTGTGCAGCGGCTCGAGGACAAGTGGTCGCTCGGGCTGGGAATGGGAATGGGAAAGGAAATGACTGCGACGGTGGCAATGGGAGTGAGAGAAGGAGGAGTGAGAGGAGGAGTGGGAATGGAGAGCGGCGGGCGGAAGCAGAAGCCGCAGCCGGAGATGGAGCTTGCGATAGAGCCGGGACACTGACAGAGTGTCAGAGGCAGGAGAAGGAGATGGAAAGGAAGCTTTGACATTGGTGAGAGCCCAACAGAAGCGAAGGGAGGGTCGGGAGGAGAGACGAGAGAGGGTCAGGCTCTGGCTCTGCATCGGCTCGTGTTTGGTTGTTGCATTGCGTGTTCGAACGGAGTCATGCGTCACGATGGCATCAAAATTTGACTGGTCTGACCGAGTTTGTTGGTGGCGCAGGAGTCGGGGATGTTTGATGAGCTCGTCTCTGGGTCGTCTGGCCGAACGGACTTACAATCACGATGGTGGCACAAACCTAAGGTAGGCAAAGGAAAGGAAAGGAAAGGGCAGAAACATTGGGGGCCCCTTTGCACCCTGAAAGGGATTCGCCCTCGGATTCCCCTTTTGGGCAATCCGGCGGGGGGTCCCTGACTGCACTCCGCATTCCCCCAGACTGGATCCACTCCCGGATGGCCTGGACTGGGGGGCGTGGAGTTGCATTGCTCGACGTGACAGTCTGGACTTCTATTTCGCGGCAGACGGCAGGGTCCAACTTCCCTGTGCAGTGGTCACGAAGACAGAAAAAGGGTTCACGATGGACCCATATCTGCAGCCCAGTGCTGCTACTCTCGATGTAGTATCCCAATAGTGTTTGACCCGGGATTCCAGCCGGGACCCAGCAGACCCAGCAGTACCTTACCGTGTATCCATCATTCACTTTCACAGCCCAGAAGAATGTTCCATTCGCATCCTTGACAGTTGAGGCAAGCCTTGAGAGCTTTACTTAGACAGTACGGAACGTTCCTTGTCTCCCGACGTTCCGACGAATCATGTCTCCGTTTCGTGTGAACCGTGAACCAACGGATCCCGCCGGTGTGTTTCCGCCGCGGGGCCCAGGGTCCTGTGTCCGCTTCCAGGATGCCTGCTTGTGCTTGCTTGCTTGCTTGATTGATTGCTTGGAGCCCAAGCTCGTGGGTGGTGGGCGCCTCCAATTGCTGTTTCTGAGCTTCTTTTGGTAGCTCGTCCCTCGTCGTCCGTCTCGCCATCGCTTCCTTCCCCCTCCTTTCCTCCCCTCCCCTCCCCTCGTCTCCCCTTCCCCCCGGGGCGCTGGCCTAGTACCGTAGCTAAAGAGCTTACAGGAACATGGGCGGGGATCTTGAATCTGATATCTGACAACCACCGCATGACCTGTCTCGGAAAATGGCGGACCCTCTGGTTTGGATGTTCTAGCCTTCCCCCCTACCTGGGAGAGACCTGCAAGAGCTCATGCGGCCGCGACGCGCAGTTGGGACGGACACATAGACACGCACATACACACACACATCCTATGCAGTACACATGGACCTAGAACAACGGGGCGGCACCGAGCCCGCGGCCGCGACGGTGGGCCACTTCCACTTTTTTGCTGCTCACTTGACATCCGACGATGCTAAGAAAAGAATAGGGCAAGAGAAAAGAAAACACGGTTGAGGCGAAAGTTAGGGCGGGACGTCCGGCCAGACGACACGAGGCTTGTCGCAGTCGCCCAGTCCGCATCCGGACCGGACCAGCCAGGGACATGTGTCTGTCTGTCTACCTTACCTTAGTGACCAACAACAACAACAACAACAACAACACAACCCCCCTGGCGCGCACCAATCAACCCAAAGAGACCAGACCTTGTCGATGTCAATGCCTGCTTCGGCGCTAGCAGCTGTTCTGTTGGTGCAACTGTCGCGCGTGCGGTTCGGTGCCGTGCCATTGAGCTTCGGTTCGGGGATGCTGATCTGAGAATTGGATTGGCATGACGGGAGGAAAGGATCCTATCCTGGATGGGCGTGGCGTGGCGTGGGTGAAGGAAGGGTGAAGGGTGAGGGGGCAAGACCTGGACTACCTTGGGCATTGCCTGTGCGGGGGAACGGGAAACCCAGCCCGGCATGCCAAAGTTGACGATATTAGTCGTTCCAAAAGGTATAAAGACGAGAGAAGACGAACCGCTCTCAAGTCTTGAGGAACAGCTCGTCACTCTACACACTCATCAACTCATCACTCTTACAACACACACAAGCAACCAAACGCTCCTCCTCCTCGTCGATAAAGTTTCCGCCCTCCCGTCTTAGACGCCGCCGCCGCTTTCATCTCAAGCTCATTCACACACACACTTACACCCACATACCTCGACCGTGCGACATCGCTCCTCCATCTCCTCCGGCTGCCCTCCCAGAGACAACCACCGGCTTCCACCACCAACGGATCACCACTTGCCATTGACTTCCAGGCCAAACTTCATCCTTCTTGGACTTTGCACATATCTTAACTGTCAATTCGACAAGATGTCTCGGTACGTAACCCGTCTGAGGCCGTTCGTTCTCGGCGCCCAGCTCAACAAGGCGCATTCCAGGCTCGCAACCCAATCTCTCCCCGTCGCTCCTCTGGCCGCTGAGCCCCTCCTCAACCAAACCGTCGTGAACCCCGTCGTGAACCCGGTCAGGAGCTTCAACACCACTCCCAAGGCCGCCGTCCCCCTCACATCGCCCACCATGACCCGCGTCCTCCCCGAGTTCAGCCTCCACGGCAAGGTCATTGTCGTCTCCGGTGGTGCCAGAGGTCTTGGTCTCACACAAGCCGAGGCTCTCCTCGAGGCCGGCGCAACTGGTAAGAACATCATACAAAAACAACTTACACACTTAGGCACACGACACTAAAACACGCGCTTTCACAGTCCACGCCATCGACCGTCTCCCCAAGCCCGACCCCGACTTTGAGAAGGTCGCCCTCAGAGCCGAGACGGAGCTCGCCACCACCCTCACCTACCACCAGGTCGACGTCCGCGACGTCGCCTCCCTCAACGAGATTGTCGCCGGCATCGCCGACAAGCACGGCCGTCTCGATGGCCTCATCGCCGCCGCTGGTATTCAGCAGGAGACTCCCGCCCTCGAGTACAAGGCCGAGGACGTCGACAGGATGATGGGCGTCAACGTCACCGGCTGCTTCATGACCGCGCAGGCCGTCGCTCGTCAGATGATCAGACTCAACACCCCCGGCAGCATCGTTCTGATCGCCAGCATGAGCGGCACAGTCGCCAACAGGGGATTGATCTGCCCGTAAGTTCTCACATCTCATCTACCCCTCTCTTCCCCTCAACAGCAATGAGGATTCGCAAATCCTTCTATGAGGAGAGGTTCCTTCGTGGTGACACAAGACTGACGTAACACGCGGCTTGCAGTGCATACAACGCCTCCAAGGCTGCAGTTCTGCAACTCGGACGCAACCTCGCGGCTGAATGGGGCGTGCACAACATCCGCGTCAACACCATCTCGCCCGGCTACATCGTGACCGCAATGGTCGAGGCGCTCTTCGAGACCTACCCGGAGCGCAAGGAGGAGTGGCCCAAGCACAACATGCTGGGCAGACTCAGCAGCCCGGGCGAGTACCGCGGCGCCGCCGTCTTCCTGCTCAGCGATGCCAGCACCTTCATGACGGGCAGCGACCTGCGCATTGACGGAGGCCACTGCGCCTGGTAGACCATTGCATGGTTTAGAAGGGAGAAAAGTGTCTTTTTATTGGGTTGATTGGTCGTAATACATCGATATCAGGAGTCTAGCGTATCATCTTGTTTTTTTTTACACATATAATACAATCACATTTTATATCAGCTTTATTTGGTCCTTCTCAAGCGGGACTCGTGATACCCGGACGACCCAGTTTCTCCACGATACCCTTGTTCAGATTGAGTCTTTCCTCAATCTGAGCTGACGAGTGTCCCTTCTCACGCATCAGGTGCATCTGCACGATGGTGTTGAGGTCCAGCAACGTTCTGCCGTCGTTCCCGCTCCTGCCCATACTCTCAAACTCCTCTTCAGCTCGCTGTTGCAAGGCGCGCCTCGCCTCGAGAGTAGCCAGTGTCGCGTTTCGTGACGTTGGAGGGAACAGGGGCCCCGGATTTGAGATGGCAGCCGCGTGAGCTGGCAGCGACGCCGTCGAAGTGGCAGAATATGTCGGGTTGGGCTGCACAACGCCCATCTGGCGCAGGCGGGAGGAGAACTCTTCGCTGACTTCGGGGTTGATCGAGTCCGCAAGGACATCTGGAAGAACAGCATGTCAGCGACGCTTTTCGGGCCATTCGGTCAGGAAGAACAGCTCACCATCTGTCTTGGACGTCGCAGCCTGTGCCTTTGCATGTGTGGCGGGCTGCGATTGAGTAGGGGGGGCCGGAGCTGCCTTGCTCGCTGATGTGGGCGGCACGGCGCCGGGCGCGCGGGTCGGGAACTTGCGCGCCGCGCCTTGTGCTGCTTTTGACGATGATGCGCCCATTGCGTCGTGCTGTGTCAATTGGTCGTCGGTGAGAACCAGCTTTGGCGAAGTGGAAATGGAGAGCAAATGGAACACTGTGAGCGACCGGGGAAGCTTGAGATTCTTTCGCGGGCGACAGCTTATCGATAAGCAGCTTTACAGGAACCGCCGCCGATGACGCTTCTATGATTCCTGGGGGACCGAGGCACGTCAGACGATTCCTTTGAGTTCTGATTGGCTGCAACTACAGTGGTCACTTTTCCAGGTCTGGGGTAGCTGATCTTTTCTCCAGCTTTTCAATCAACACACACAAAGTTCCATTAACACACAATATGTACAACGAAGAAGAAGCTTATTTACGGTGTTTTTGCGAGATGGTACCGGCCGCATTGGTTTCACCACTTCTCGGGCCTCTCACTCATCATTTATCAACACATCATCACACTCAGCTAATCTCTGCGACGTGGTTCGTGACCAAGCAAGTCCACTCGTCGGTGCCGTAGTAGATAGTGTTGCCGTCGTTGTGAGTCTGTCCAGTGCTGATGGTGTCGCCGAGTTGCCAGAAAGCATCGCCAGCCATGCCGGCCGTCGTGGCCGACGTGATCTGCCACGGCCTCTCCAGCTCGCAGTGCCGCTCGGGGGTGCCGTCTAAGTCTCCGTGTCAGCTAGCGTTTCTTCAATCGCCGCCTCGAGTGAGGCTACGGTTGTCGTTGCGTATCGTTCACTTACACTCCTCAAAGAAGCATGGCTTGTTTGCCGCAACGCACTGAACAGCGTGGTCCGTCACCCACTTGCTGCCCGCATCGTACCCGAGTCCCCCTATCTTCATGTCAGCTACCGTCGTCACCCTTCGAGTGAGATATCTTCCCTCAGAACTTACATGAGTTGGGGTAGAAGTGGAAGGTCGCAAAGTCGAGCGTGGTGATGTTCAAGAGGGCAACCCAGTCGGTTCCCTCAGAGTACTGGTACGGGTACGAGGTATCCCCGGGCAGCCCCATGCCCTCGTCGCCGAGCGTCACCATGTGGTTGGGGTCGAGGCTCTTGACGTACTGCGACGTCGTCTTGGCCCAGTTGTAGATGACGCTGGTGCTGCAGCCCTGGCAGCGGGGCTCGTTGGCGAGCTCCCACGCGAGGATGGCGGTGCTCGACTTGAACCGGCTCACCACGGCCTCGATGTACTTCTTGTACTGCGTCTGCGCGGCCGTGTTGGTGTACCAGCCGTTGTGGTCGCCGCCGAAGGCGTTGACGTAGGCGTTGATGCCGCCGTAGTCGTTCCAGTTGTTGACGAAGTTGATGATGAGCTTGATGCCGTTCTTCTCCGCCGACGCGACGACGGCGTCCAGGCGCTGCAGCCCGTTCGCGCCCGTGTTGATGGTCGACCCGGACGCGCTGAGGTACTGGAAGTACACGTCGTTGGACGGGATGGAGTTGACGTCGTTGAAGCCCCAGATGCGCAGGATCTTGAGGCCCGAGGACTTGAGGTGGCCCATGACGAGGTCGACGTCGGCGTTTTGCGAGGAGCTCAGCATGGAGATCCAGTACGAGTTCGTGCCGGCGTAGTACTTGGTCACGCCGTCGATGTTGAACTTGGTGCCGACGGCCTTGGCGAAGCCGGTGCCGGTCGCGGGCGGCGCGGCGGTCGAGGAGGTCCGGACCGAGGAGGAGCTCGAGGTGCGGACGGTGGAGGTGGCGAGGGTGCTGGTCCGGGAGGTGGTCGTCGGCGCGGCGGTGCCTGTAGACGTTCAGCTCTTGTTCTTCACCAAGAACGATGTTGCGACGACTTACCGGGAACGCACTGCGAGTACCAGGCGTTGGAATACTGGCATACGGCGCCGGCCACGCAGGTCGTGGGTCCCGTCCAGCCCTGTCCACCGCATTGACCGTACAGAGCTTGCTGCGCCGAGACGGCAGCCGCAAGAGAGAGCACTCCGGCAGCGACTGACTTCATGTTGAAAGACTGTGTCGGTGTTGTTCCTGCGAACTACCCTTCAAAAGCAATGAGAAGGCGCCGGTGGGATGCCGTCATTTTGTAGTCTCGACGTGCATCGCCCACATTGTCCTGATCGGCAACATCAGCCTCGACGGATCGTCGTCCTCCTTGCCCCTCGAAAGCTTCTTGCCATGTGACTGCGAAATTCCATCAATGGCGTGCTGAGGACTCGTCCTGTGTCAAGCCACGGCGGACAGCTGGACCCTGATCTCGAACGATGCTGTTAGGCACTCCGCAATCGAGGGGAACGCATCCGAAAACACCGGGGCGGATGCGAAAAAGCAGCTGGTTCACACCCACTTCAGGTCTTGGGATGGGTGGCCCGATATGACATGCCTGCGCCGGTTCTGCGTTACATTGCATGTCCAGGGCGGGAGACTGCTCGTCAACTGGAAATAATCTGGGGCGGCAGAACCAAGATTCTCTTTGTCGCTTCCACCGATCTGCCCAACATTCACCCGTCCATTGTTTTGAACCAGCAAAACACGGTATCAACCAGCTTTCCACCAACTACCCATTTTCTTGTAATTATTGAACTACTGATGAGATAAGTGGTGAGTCAAATTACAAGTCACATCAAAGACCCAGCGGCCCTTCTTGGACATAATGTCCGCCTCGACGTATGGGGCTGCAACGGCGGACCATGGTCCCCCGAATTCCGCTTTCGAACATCGCGCCCTCGACCCCGCGTCAACGGCAAACCGGCCACCAGGCTAGCAAGCTTTTGCAGATGTACACGCACAAAAGCGAAAACGAGCTGAGTCGACAACGCGGGCCGTCAGGTTTCTGGATTTGATTTCAGGTAGTCATCCGCAGCTTGCGGGATGTACGCGATGCAAATGGCGGGTTGTCCCGAACACCGCCCATCCGCGACCCCGCCACTCCGGCAGCGTGATCCGGACGTGGACGTGGATGCAGCTGAGATGTCGGACCACAATTCCTGTCAGCAGTCTCTGGGGTGGCACAAAGTTCATGTGCAAGGGCGAGTATATTCTCTTTCGTCTTTTTGTTCATTTCTCGTCAAGTCAATCCAAAGGCTGCTGTAGGCCGTACAGTTATTTCTTAACTCCGGAGGTTTTCTGCTTCTTTCTGCTTTAGCTCCGTAGCCATCGCCGATGCCGAAGACTTTTCGGTGGCCACGGGCGCCACTCCGTCGGTCTCGATGTATAAGGCCATCACCTTCGGGCCGGGGTAATGTTTGACGGCGTGCGCCGCCCACCACAGCCCGGTAATCGCCACCGTCCCTACCAAGATTACACTGCTCCAATTCATAGATGCTTCGCTCACTGGAAGCACAAAGGCTGTTGGCAGTAGGTCAGCCTGATTATCCCGTATAGCACAGGGAAACATCACAGACGAAGACTTACGAAAGCAGAAGAGAACATCAAACAACACAATGAACAGGACAGCCAGGCCGTTGACCGCGTACCCCGCTCGTCCTAGGTGGAACGGCCCCTTGGGGAAATACTTGCGGCCCGACAGCATGTTTGCCGCGAAGGGGATGGCGTAGGATATGGTCGTCAAAACGACAAACGATCCAGCGATGGCGAGAAAAGCCGTCGAACTGCCAAGCGGAATGGCACCTATCCCGGTAGCAAGCACGCCTAGATCGAACGTTAATCAAATGAGGACTGTGCAAGACCTCGACTCGACTTACAGACGAACAGGGTTGACCAGACGGGACAGCTGAGCCGTTCGTTTACTCGGCCAAACAAAGCTGACAGCGGCACGGCGTTGTCTCTGGCCAGTGCCCAGTAGGTCCTCGAAACCTTTGCGAGTTGGTTAGTCGTTGACGCGACTCAGACGGGAGTTGTTTCCCCTAGTCAACCCCTAATCAAAGGTAAACCGGCACTTTTGCTTACAGTCAACGTCAGACCCACACAGCAGGTCAAGGTGCAGATGAGCATGATGAACAGAAGCCCGAAAGCTGCGCCCGGGTTGCGCACGCCGTTATCCCCGGCCGTTGCTTGAACGTAGATGTTGGTCAACGGGAAGGTGTTGAAGCCGCCCTGGAGGGCGGTGATGTCTGTGATGGCGTACGATAAGGCGACGGCGAAACAAAAGGCATCTGCCACACAAGTCAACCAACGTTTGTTTCTCAATAAGACGAGCCAAAGACTTACAGACGAACCCCAGAGTGATCTGCAACATGATCGCTTTGGGCAGGTCCTTCCTGGGATGGCCCATCTCCTCCGCCATATGCGTAACCGAGTCAGGAGTCCCGATCGTAAAGGCGCCGTTGAGGACGCCCAGGAGAAACGCGACCCCGCCCGACCAACCGGTGGCATTATTCTCGTTGAAAGAGGACCACACAAAGTGGTTGGTCGCGTGGCGTTTCGGCATCGCCGCCAGGATGATGATGGTCACGATGCCGCCGACGATGACGAAGAAGGTGCCTACGTGCTGGGTGTGCGGCGCGTACTTGTTGGCGAAGACGATGAAGAACGCGGAGCCCCAGAGGATCAGGAGGTACCCGATGAAGACGTGGTACGGCTGGCTAACGTAGGTGTCGAGGTGGTAGACTGCGTACATGCTCACGGCGACGTTGCTCGAGATCTGCATGAGCGACGCCAGGGCGAAAATCCAGCCGTAGAAGTTGATCCCTGGTAACATATCAGTGAGTATCGCTTCACGTAATGCGCGATGCAGCAGACCGACGTACATCCGGTGAAGAAACCTAATATTCGTCCCCATCGAGGGCCTCCTGCGATGGTAGCCCAATGGTAGACGCCGCCGGCGGTCGGGACCGAAGAGGCAAGCTTGACGCTGCATCAGTTGCAGCTCACGATGTCTTCAGAACAAGGGATAGAAGTGGCAGGTACAGACCTCCGACAGACTCAGTCCGATTAGAGAGTAGTAGAAGACGGCGACCAGGAGGCCGTAAACGATGCCGGGTGGGCCACCGTTGACTAGACCAATCCCGGTTGGTTACGGACATTTAACCTGCGAGACTGAGCGTGGACTCACGAATAGAGACCGAAATCGACGAGCCCAATGCGACCCAAGCGTTGTCCACGGTGAGGGCCATGCTGGCAAGTCCCAGAAGGCCGTATTGGCGCGACAGCTGGTCCCTGTGGCCTGCAGCGTTCAGGGCGACGCCATCTTGGATGACGACGACGGTTTCGTCGTCCGAGGTGCCTGGCTCCTCGACTCTGGTTCGTACTTCTTCTCGCATCGTGGTGGGTTTCTCACGTAGATGCGCTTCCAAGCGGATCTAGTGCTGTTATCTCGAGTCGTCTGCGAAACGGTGTGTGGACCGTCACGATGCACCGCTTTAGGAGGGAAGACGAGGTGTAGACAATCAAGGGTGACAATAGACACGGCAAGCCGGAAACCCCAGCGTGGTAGCCCGCGCGGGAGGCGAGAAAAGAGAAAGACCAGACGGAATATGTGTTATTTGAAGCAATGGGCTATCTGCTTGAGCAATGCCAACGTAGCATCGTGTAGCGCCATGTCTTGGGATGAAGATATCAGACACTTCATCCCTAGTGGCCAAGACGCAGACTGTGCGATGGCGCGGTGCTAAGATTGACGTTGCATAGTCTTCTTTTTCAGCCAGTCAGCCCGCATAAGCTCATGCTGCTGTGCATCGGACTCGTAAAGCCAAGATAAGACAAGAGGCAAAATCGTACATCAGTAGCGTGTTATCGGACTGCGTGATACGGACAGGACGAACAGTTTCTTTGCCTCGACGTGTAGAGGATTTAGGCTGTGGCATTTCGCTTCATATGCGCGCCACATCTTGCGTGGGACGGGCCGTCCAATCTGTGCCTGGCTGATGGACCATTCAGGACGGCAGGATAGCTAGAGGTCTGTGGTGTAAGGGGGATGCATTTTGACAAATGATGTTCGCCGGTGCGTGCGGAAGGATTCCAACCGGCAATGTAAGCTTTCCTTGGGCAGCTTTTCCCATGTCCATGTGGCATGTGCTACAGAATCAGTCAATGCTCGAAAGCCGGCAAACAAACCGAAGGCATATTAGTTGAGCGTAGCAAAGGATATAAACGCCAAGACGGCTTGTTTACTGATGTGTCCGATACCCAAGTTTATGAATGAAAGAAAGCGGCCAACCGAGGCGCGCCGCGGCCTGTGCTGCATGCAATGGGAGAGAGCTATGTTGGTGTTCGAGAGTCCGAGGTGGAAGAGCACCAGCCATGCAGCCAAGGTTCGCAATGAAACACTGCCAATTCGCATCGCGTTCGGTGTTGTGGACCGCAGTCAGAGTCTACCTTAGATCAGAGAGGCTACAGGGGACTTTTGGGCCGATACGATGCTCTCGCATTCGTAAGGTATGTATGCCTCATCTGAAGCACCAGGCCTCGGAGGCCTGAACCAAATGTCTTGGTGAGATATGAGTGAGCGAGTTTAAGTGCCAAGCGTGATGGCCAACCGGAAGAAAAAGATGCTGGAGGATGGCTAGCTCATTGGGGTAGCACTGGAAAAACTGTTGGCGAGTAGAGTTTTTCTCGCTGACCGGGTTTTGAGTCATCACGATGGTTCGCGATTGAAGGCGATCTCCTGCTGAGACAGGACGATGCCGGTGAGAGAAGGGTTAATAGATGAATTAAATAGACGAGGTTGGATGAGATGGGCTGATGTGAAGGATCGTGTTGGGTTGAGGGATGGGAGGAAGACTTAGCACTGTAATTAACCCCGCGGCCCGGGCATTTAGCGCCGATAGCGCCCTCGTCCTCCCTCTTTCGGTCACTTTAGCGAAGATGAACAAAAGCTTAACAGAAGCGCCAAGTGGGGCCCTTCTTTTCAACGTTCCATTTCGGCGAGGAACACACACAGCCCACTCACCCTCTACTCATCCATCTCCTCCATCTTCGCGAAACAAAGATTCACAGCTTCACATCTCCCTGTCAAACACCAATGGGCATGCAAGTCATTTGCTTCCAAGCCGCGGAAAACCAGCGCAAGTAAGCACTTTCGGGCCACTGTGCCCCTGTTTCCACGTTGCGACGACGACTCGGCAGTCGTGCCATTGGCTTGGAACCTGCCGTCGAACCTTCGCCGCCACAAAATCCCTGCCGTACGGCAAACCTTCAGGCTTCTTCTGTCTGTCGAGATCCCTCGAAGAATCTGCTGCTGTCCTTCCCCCTTGGCAGCCTCGAGTCTTTTTTGATGGGTTAGGGGAAGACGGTGATGCTTACACTCTTGGCAATAGAGAAACACGGTTCGGCAAGCCACTAACAAAAGCTGACATGACATCGAAATTTTTCCTCCTCTGGAACTCTTCCTACTTTCGGCATGTCTTCTCCTTTCAGAGAAGGATGATTCTTATCGTCTATAAATAATACCCACAAAGCACCGCCGACGAGTCTGTCCACCCAAATCCACGCAACAAGCAATCCCCTGCCCCAAGCGCCGACCGTGTCTCTCATCCAATACCCCACGAACACGGAACATCTCACGCAAACCTGTCATTCCAGAGCCCGGACACCTCCTTTCTTAACTGCCGGTTCTATCGGCCGGGGACCATGCCCAGGTAATCTCCCTGCGATGGCCATGGTTTCCCCGTCCATTCGGAATCCCATCCCGAGCACCACCTTACCGGTCATGGAATCCTCGAGGATTGTTGATCTTGCCGCTTTTTGTTTTCAGGCACATTACATGGGCCCCGAGGGAACCGTAGGAACGGCAGCTTTTGTCGTGCAGGCATCCGGCTGGACGTCAGCTTGAATCCTGGTGCCTTCTTTAATGTGAGACGCTGAACTCATCATTGCAAATGGGGTATATACATAGGCGAACGACCCCCATCCTGAAGCACTTTGTTGAGAGCCTCCAGCGAGTTCGTTCTGCCCTTTTCGTTCTTTAATCTGTTGATGACTTGTTCCGTTGCGATGTTTTCCATTCAGCATCACCCTTGCGGTTACCTCCTCCTAGCCTTGATTTCCTCGGTGCTTGTAGAAGCAGCCCCCAACCCTTGCAAGGCCTGCCCCCCGTTCACCAAAGGCAGCTTCACAATCCAGCAGTATCAGCTGTACCCCGAAAATGCGGACTGGGACGTTAACAACTGTATCGTCTACTTTGGGTAACTGAGCCCGACCCCTCTTACACAACTCACGCACTAACCCGGTCCCAGGTCCTTGTTCAACGCCAGCGTAGCCGTGTACGACCCGTACAAGGACTCGGTGGTGGACATCCTCGCCTTCGCCGGCATCACGCACAACCCAACCCTCCACATCGGCGGCGTCCAGGTCGACCAGCACACCAAGCTCGTCTCCGTGGTCGTCGACGCCGCCGCCGCCTTCAACACCGCCGGCCAGGACATCTCGGGCGACAACTTCATCATCAAGTACGACCCCGCCAAGAAGCAGGTCCTCTGGAACAAGAACATCACCGCCGTGACACAGGGCCAGTACGGCGGCTTCCAGGACATCGAGCACGACCCCCGCGGGAACACGTACGTCGTCGGCTCGTTCCCGGGGACCATCATGAAAGTCGACCCCCAGGGGTCCGCTGTCGATCCCTGGTTTCTCCCGCAGCAGATTAATCACACCAAGATGGGCTTTTCCGGGCTCGCGGCAACGGGGGATATCCTCTTGGCGAACAACAACGAGGACCGCCAGATCTACCGGTTCAATATGAAGGACGACAAGGGAAAGCCTGAGCTGGTACCGAGAACGCCCGAGGTCAGCCTGGACAGCACGGATGCGATATACCTGCCGCCGAGGTATGACGGAAAGGTTCTGCTCATCGCAGAGAACCTCAAGGGCATCACCGTCTTGCGGTCCAAAGATGGGTCGTGGAAATCAGCTGAGCACTTGGGCACTGTTCCCAACAACTCTACAGCAGCCCAGGGCGGGATCGTCACGGCGCCGGTACAGATTGGGGACAACCTCTTCATGGTGGAGGAGTTCTTCGCAGACCCTCCCGTTTCCGGCTCAACCGCAGGAAACAGAACTAGTTTCCCATTGGTTGACATCACTTCTGACGTTGAAAGGTTGCTGAAAAAGACAGCCGGCCGTAGATGAGCCAGATCAACGGACCGAGAGTAATAAAACACATCATCTTTTCTACACTTTGGTACATCTTATGCACACCCTGATTAACTCTGAAGACTGATAACGTCCCCGAATTCGATCTGCTGCCAAAACTCCAAGGCATCATGTGAAATCGCCAGAGTCCAAATCGCGAGTACAAGCCAACATGACGCCCAAATGCCGTCGGGGTATTACCAAGCTAGATAGGTCCGAACCAACAACCAACTGCCCAGATGCGCAACCAATTTCGCTCGAAGAAAGTGGATAACCGCCGAAAACCTCAAAATTGGATGCCGAGATGTTCGTCGTACAGAGTCGAAAAGGGATCGTCCTCCTCGATGCCCAGAATCTCGTTTGCTTCCCTCAGCCAAGCCGGGGTCGGTCCCACCCGGGTGGTAGGCGGCTGGGATTGAAACAACTCCTCTTCAAATATGTCCTCATAATCAGCCGTCTTAGCTCCCATCCATGCGTCTTTTCCAGTTTTACTCCAGGGGCTGACATCTTCCTCCACCTGCTTCGGCATGGCCGTACCCTATCCGGGGCCGAAAAGGTGTGAGGCTCCAAAATCTTCCTTAAAGCCAAGGAACTCTCCTCTCTTACCCGGCATCGGCTCTCCGATGCCTGAAGGCGAGATCTTGGAGACGTCCCTTCCGAACTTGTCCTTGTAGATGACATTGCCCATACCGTCAGCTTTCATTACGGCAATCTGAACGGGCTCGCCATTATAAGGATCGATCAGGCAGAAGTGGCGGCCGACCTGGAAGGGGCCCTTGTGCTTGTCCTTTGCGAGCTCGCGCGCTTTCTCGACCTGGCGACCAACCATGCTCTGATGCTCGCTAATGGGCTGGGGGTGCAACATCATCATCTGCAGTTGAGCGTCGGACTCCTTGGTGGGCTTGAAGGGATCGGCCAGCTTTGTCTCTCGGATCGGGCTGCTACTCATCATAGCGCCAGGAGCGTATCTGCTTGGGGATGGAGTGATTGTGCTGCTAGATCTGTTGCTGGATCTGTTGCTGGACATAGTGTTCGAGGTGCCATCAGAGGTCGGGAACGAGACCTTTCGGAGTGACGAAGGGCGACGAGGTGTCGACGGTGTGCTACTCGATTGACGGTATCCCGGCGTACTGCTAGATGGAACAAGGCTGGCTCGGTTGTTTCTATCGGTGTCTACATGACGAGGTTAGCTAATCTGGGTAACTCTGGGCACAAGGTTGTGTTCATACGAAGTTGCATGCGGGGCATGTTGGACGAGAGGGCGGCCACCATCGGATTCTGCGTCGGACGACCAGACGGGCTGAAGTGCGACACGTTGGCTTGAATTGTCAGTAAATCTCTGGGCGAATATTTGAGATGAGACTAACGAAAGTATTCCATCTGGGACATGTAGGACGCCATAGACGCGCCGTCCAAGTTCAGATCAAGAGGGTCGCTCGGGAAGGCAGGACCCGGGGAGACGGGCTCGGGGCTCGAATGGCTCATCTGATCGTAGGAACGCTTCAGACGGGGAAGTTCCATATTTTCCCGAATATCAGAAGCGCGTTGTTGCATGGCGATTTCGGCGCGGTAGTTCGGGATCGCCAAGTGGCTGCGGACTTGGTCGGCACGGCGCTGCATCTGAGGCTCGGCAGGGCGGGGCAATGCCGAGATTCCTGATGAGACACGTTCAACGAGACTCCGTGTTACTTCTTCGGCTGCCTTGGTCGGGGTCATGGGTATGGCTGGTAGAAGAAGGACTCCAGGCAACTAGAATTTCACCGGAGACTGCCTGGCGGGGTGTCGCAAACCGGTTAACCAAGGAGGTGTAATGAAGGTCAAAACGAACGCGAACTGCCAATGTCGGCCGTGATGTGGACTCCGAAGTGTCGTTCTGGAGGAAAAACGATGGTAGTCGAGGGTGGGAAACTGCAGTAAAGGCTGCCTCGACACAAAAGGATATTGTCGAGTCGCACGTTATGCGGTTGCTAGCCTCGAGCGCCTGGTGAATAAGACGTTTGTTTACCTTCGCGTGGGTCTGCAAGGCAGGCAGACTTGGGAAGGTGCTCTTGGTCGTTGCTTCCTTTGGTGACAAACATGTTCTTTCTACACAGCCTGTTGACGGCCTATTCAAGCAACCTCGAATCAGACCAGCTCCTTGTCTTTGTTGACACTACCCCTTACCTCTCTCTTCCTGCAATGCCCCCAAGCGCCCAAGTATCACGACGCAACGATTTGAACCAAGTGTGACTGCAGTGTCTAATCTTATACATTGAATAATTTGTGGTTGCCTCTTGCGTTTCTTGAGGCTTCGTTTACATCTCTTACATTACTCGACCTGGAACCCTCGCACAGGCCAGACAAGACACGTAGATATCCTGCATCCATGACCGAAGGCAGCACCCGTCCAAGACTTCGGCAGCCAGTCCCGAAGCCATCGCGAATCCCTCACAGTAAGCAACCTGCGTACACCCGAAAAAGGGCCACCACAGATCCCGTCCGCAAGCGAACCCTCAAAGACGCTGCAAAAACCTAAACCTAGACTTGGGAGGCTTCGCAGGCGGCATCTCAGGCGGGTTCCCGTTGCCCGGCATGCCTGGCATGCCCGTGCCGTTGTTCGGGGGAGAAGGATTTCCCTTCCCTCCGCCCGGCTTGTCGCCGCCCTTACCGCCGCCTTCGCCAGGCTTGTCGCCGCCTTTGCCGCCGCCTTCACCAGGCTTGTCGCCGCCCTTTCCTCCTCCTTCTCCTCCTCCTCCACCACCGCCGCCGCCGCCTCCTTCACGGCAGCCACTTGCAAATAGCATGACCTCAGCGCAGTTCGCACCCTGGTCAGCCTTCTTATAGACGTTGTACTGCTGCTGCTCGGCCTCACACTGGAAGAACTTGGTCTGGTTCTTGAACGTAATCTGCCCGTCGCAGCCAACCGAGAACCCAGAGTCGGGCTTCTGGCCAACGTCACACTGCAGAGTCTCCGTGGGAGCTAAGTCGTCATAGTTAGTTTTCAGAGTCTTCAAAATCACAGACACCCGGATTTACTTACGAGTCCACCAGCAGCCTCGCTTCTTGTCATCGTTGACCTCCCCCTTTTCCATGTGCATGGTCGCCGGCTCAAGTCCGATTCTAAGCTGTCCGCTTTCCAACTGGCCAATGGAGCCGGAAACAGAGCCCTTCGCCATGAACTTGAACGACTTGCAATCTCTCAAACGGCCGCCCTTGCAGTCGTCACCTCCCTTTCCGCCTCCGCCGCCGCCACCTCCTGGGCCAGGGGGCGGCTTTGGCTTGTCACTAGCTCCAGGTTTGTCAGGTCCGGGCTTGTCAGGACCAGGCGGCGTCTTCGGGGGGTTTTCGCCGGGTGGTGGCATCGGCTTAGGCTTGTCGCTTGATCCGGGCTTGTCAGGTCCAGGCGGCGTCTTCGGGGGGTTTTCACCACCCGGAGGCATCGGCTTGGGCTTGTCACCTCCGCCCGGCGGCGGCATAGGCATGGGCATGGGCATTGGCATGGGCGCGTCGCTTGCTCCAGGCTTGTCCGGGCCCGGCGGCATCGGCTTCGGTTTGTCGGGCTTGTCGCAGTCCTTGGGGCCCTTACCACCGCCATGACCACCTCCCGGGAAACCACCTCCCGGGAAGTGGTTGTCGATCTGAGGGTCTGCATTGTCCCTCTTCATCCCACCACCGCCGCCGCCTCCTGGACGTTCGCCAGCGCGGCAGCCTTCTCCACGGCCGCGGCCGTGTTCGGCAGCCAAGGCATTTGCGTCGTCTCTGCTACCGAGGGAGAGAGCAAGGGAGCTCGTAGCCAGGGAAACGACAGTGATTACCGACAGACGCATCTTCCTGTTCTCTCTCGAAGGATGTACAAATTTTGAGTGTGGTATAATACAAATTAGAAAAACAGGTGACAAACGAACGTCACACGGCCCGTCAGGGGAGTATGCCCTTGGGGGAAAGGAGTTTACTGTCGGAATGGGTAAGGTAAGGAAGATTTACTCGTCTTCTCAACACGAAAAAAGCGAATGCTGTCGTGAAGAAAGGGGCAAAGGGGCGGCGGCAAGTACTGAGGCGATGGACGACGGACGAAGTCTTCTTATCTTTTTTAGGCTTTTCTTTTCGAACCACCTCGAAAGCTTGAGAAACGACATCGGAGAGAGGGGACATGGCTGCGAACACAAATCACAACGTGAGGCGGCCGTCAAATGACTAGCCGGGCGAGAGCAGAAAAAGTCTGACCGGAGCGGAAAAGGAGAACGAGGGGGTCATGAGGGGGAGGGGTTGACGGGGGTTCGATGATGTCCGACGACGATGTCAACATCATGAGAGAGTCATTCAACAAAGAGGGGTGTGTGTGGGATGGGTGTGGGTGGGCAGAGGGAACAACCAACAGGAGGCCTGAGGAGGAGGCCTGAGGAGGAGGCCTGGAGGAGGCCTCGAGGCCTGGGTAAACATGATCTCATGAACCACACACGGCATTCGTACAAACATCGGATACGGCATCCACGTGGAGACTTAAAGGCAATTGCCCTTCCAGTTTTTTTCTGCCGCCTCTCAGAAGCGAAGGAGATCATAAAAGATCAAGCTATAGAACTTCAGATGGAGCCAGATCGAGATGACATCTTGGCTGGGAAAAAGGGGGTGCGAGAAGTTAGAATCACGAACTGGCGAACCACGCAGAAACAACCACCAAAGGCGGTGACTTTTCCGACGACTTGGTTCGATTGGGCCAAGGAATAAAACTCGGAGGATTAAAAGGAAGAAGGAAAAAACTCTCTTGCTTAGTCCTGACAAGAACTCAAAACCTTGCCATTCAAATCACCCCTCTTCTTCCCATCCCCTCATCTTCGCTTCTCCGTCGCCCGATCTTTCCAGGGACTACGCGGCAAGATGCGGCGGTGAAGCGAACGGCCAAGGTCAAAACAAGAAACATGGGGAGGGAACCGGAGAGAAACAAAGTTTGCATCGAACGAATCATTTCTATTCTCTTGACTGATGAACGAGAGTCATTGTGTATGTGTGTGTATCTTTCTCTAACTCTTGGTATCTTTTTCTTTTCTTCCCTTGCGAGACGCTGAGTCGTCCTCCACTAGAGACGATCCGGGGGCAGACGAGGTTTCGTTTCCTCGAATCACAAAATGGGGCCTTGTTCCACGGGCAAAGGCTCGTTTGCCGTTTCGATCGCGACGAAGACATGGGTATCATACGGTTAAACACACTTCAAAGCTCAGCTCTTCCCCAGACGCGTGCGTGCGGAGCCTCGGAACAAACACCTTGCGGCTGAAAGCCCGTGCCAGGCTGGTGGGAGGAACAGGGAAGTAGGGGTTTTGCGGTTCTCCGGAAGAGCCGCATTCGGGTCGCCCAACATCGAAACGGTGTGCAGGTTCAGGCCGCAATCAGGTTTGTAACGGCTGCCGTTGCCCTGTGATCTCATACCAAACAGTGCGGTGACCGCACGCTGGCGGGCGCTGAACTTTAGGATCTGGAGTCCCTGAGTCGGCCCGATCGACGATGATTGGACTGTTTCCCTACCCGAGCTGGCGACGTTGCCGAAACTTCGGCGACGCGACGGATCAACATCATCTAGCTTTTCAGAGAGCCTCATGTCTTTCTCCTCTTGGCGGCAGTGCTGCTCCTAGTACTCCTTGTACTGGCGCGATCCGAGATCGCACGGACCGAGGTATTGTAGCTCGTCTCCGAGGCAGCGCCGTCACCACCCTCACTGTCACTTGCGGAGTCGTCATCAGAGTCAGCGTCCAGCGGGATCATATCGTCCGAGGCTTCATCGGCGTCTTCAGACGCCTCGGCCAAGGACTTGTCGCCCTCGGCCTTACCGTCTTCGGATCCGAAACCCTCAAACTCATCATCGTCCTCCTCCTCTTCCTCATCATCGTTGTCACCAGCGACTGTGGAAGGTCCCATTGAGGTATCAGGCATGCTCTCAGCATTCTCAGCATCATCCCGCTTTCGCTTCAGGGGCATCTCTCCGAGTCTACCACCGCGACCCTCCACGGCCTCACCCGCCTCGGCATCCTCATCCACCGGCGCAGGAGTGAACCAGGGAATCTTGCCGCGCATGAAATCGTTAAGGATCATCTTGGCGACACCATCCACGTCAGGCTCTCCCTTGCGGAGGAGACGACCGCTCTTTCGGGCAATCATCTCGAGGAACTCGGTGTGGTTCTTCCAGCCCTTGAGTTCGTAAGTCCTCTCCATGTGGTGAGGCTTCACCTTGGCGAGTACGGCAGGGATATATTGTTCAGGGTGCTCGACGTTCTCGACACGCACAACACCACGCAGAAGCAGGTCCTGAGGCGTGTCCGTCTGAGAAGGCGGGACGATACCAGGGCAGTCAATGAGGTCTGGGCGTGTTAGCTCATGCACATTGACATCGAAAGAGGTGAGCGCGACTTACAGATCTTCTTGGTGAGAGTGATGTATTGCCAGACCTTGGTCTCGCCAGGAATTGGCGCAACATTGGCGACCTTCTTCTTCCTCAAGGTGTTGACAATACTGCTCTTGCCGACGTTGGGGTAGCCGATGAGTCCGACAGAGATCTGCTTGCGCTCGCTGTGGAGCTTGGCGTACTGTCTGAGCAGCTCAATCAAACTTCCCTTGCCGAAGGGGTTGGTAATGCTAGAGTGCATGGCGAGCGTTGGCCTGACCTTGGAGAAGTATCGCACCCAACGAGCCTGTGCCTGTTAGCTTCCGCTTAAGAAAACAAACGACACAGTCATATGTGATGATATGTATGCTTCGCTACTAAGAAAACCGCCATATCGAGGCTCGGGAGAGCACTAGCAGAGTTCAACTCAAAGTGATGCAATTTCGTCTCATGATGGGAAATCCAAAACGGACCCCATCAGCCCTGATCCAAGGACCAGGACAGCGAGACGACCCTTGATATTCCCAGCGTGTAACGGAGAACCTTCCATTGAGGGCAACAGAGTGCGAAAGGATTCCTGACAAAACGACTGGGGTCTGGAGGAAAGGTAGGAAAAGAAGGAGACAAAAACTTACAGCTACGCTGGTGGGCACCAAATCGGTCTTGTTCAAGACGAAGATGAGGTGCTTGTGAGGAGCCTCCTCTGAGAGGTATTTCTCAACACTCTTGCAGCGCGTGCCCAGAGGGTCGCGAGCGTCGAGGACGTGGATGACAACATCGGAAGAATCCAACACGCGGTACAACTCGTTCCAGATACGCTTGCTCTGTCCCTTGTTGAAAATGGGCTCGATCGACATGGTAACGTGACCCTCGTCCTCGCCGTCCGCCGAAGGTCCCGAGTTTCCACTGAGCAGCTTGGCCTGCTCGAGGCGCTCGTTGTACGTGTCCAAGCTCTTGTCCGCGTCGTCCATCAAGTCCGTGATGGTGCCCGAGCTGATCTTGACACGCTTCCTCTGCGCCTTGGGGCCGAAGGTGCTGCCGAAAGAGGATGTCTCAATCGTCATCTTGGCCTGGTGCTTCTTGAGGCCGTTGGTCTCGCCTTCCTTGATGAGAGACATGGGAAGCTTGTTGCTCTTCAGGAGGACCGAGTATGGGTCGGCAGCCTTCTCCGCCATGGCACTGCGAAACGCTGTCAAGCTCTCTTGGGAGATGACGCGAGTGTTGTTGAACCACTTGCGGTTGGGCTCGATCCGGGCGTTGGGAACTTCGCGGCTCTGGAACGACGCGGCCTTGGTGATCTCACCGTCGGCATTGCGCTGGGCCTTTCCATCCTTGAGGATATTCAATTGGCGCACCCTCTTGGCAGAGCTGCAAAGATATGTTAGCGACGCGTCCAATGGGTCCAAAAGCCATGTTCCTGAAGCAGGAAGGGGGATAGGCTTACCGATAGAAATTTTCGCCCTTAGTCTTGACGTTGCCCATGCCATCGCCGGTCTTGCCCTGGCGAACCTTTCGGTTCGCCTCCTTCTTTCCGGATCCCATCTTCTTGTGACCGCGAACTCGCCCAGTCGTAAAATTGAAAGAGAAGAGGGAGGAAGACTGGGCAGGAGTTGAAGTCGGTGAGTTGTAAAGGAAGTTTGAGAGGGGGAGGTTGGCGCTCGCGCAAAAGAAGAAGTTCTCTGCGCACTGGTGGGGTCCTGGCATTTTTTTAGTGGAGTTGCTGAAATTTTTGGAGACTTCGGGTCAAGCACGCGCCGTACCCCCGACCAGCCAATCAAAACTCTGATTCACTCCTCTCCACTGTGAATGGCACATTCACGCCCCGGTGTTGTCTCTTACTGGTGCTGCTCACCTACTGGCAGCGCAGAAATCCCACCCAACTGCCCCTCCAGTCAAGCCACCGGTGTGTTTCTATCAAACCCTGGACAATCGAGAATTTCTCAGGTCCATGAGCCTACCACCACGGAAGGTCATCTCAAGCCGCGAGCCGACTCCATTCCCAGCGCCGTCAATCTCCTCACAGTCGGTGCCATTAAGTTGGTCGAAGCCGACTAGGCTAAAATGTCATCACGATGCGCATGCGCGCGCCTGGCACGGCTCCCCGTCGCCGCTGGATCCAGCATGAACCTCACACGACCCTTCTCGACCACGACTGCGAACCTCAAAGTGCCTCCCGAATCCCCCGAATGGATCCAGGTCCCGGTACCGCCTCAATCTCAGTCCTCTGAGCAGAAGCTCAAGGTCATTAGGGGAACCCTCCCCGTGCCCCGCGACCCCTTCCCGCGCAAGGAAGGAGACCGCAAGGTCAAGCCCGAATACCTCGAACAAACGGCCCCGACACCCTCGAACGAAGCCTCCCAGAGGCCTGTCGAGCCAGGCTCTCGCCGGGAGCACCGCCGACTCATGGCTGATAGCCGTCGTGAGAACCTCAAAACCGCCCTCAAGGGCCTCTACCAGCGCAAGAAGACCACCGTCAATGCCATATCAGCCACTTCGAGGCAGCGTCGACTCGATAACGCACGCGCAGCCAAGGCCCCCGAGCGTGAGGACGACCGTCTCACCCGTAGCTCAGTTCTGTCATCTCTCAAGACTACAATGTCTGTGGACCTTGATCCTCTCCGTTACGAGCGCGCTGCGGAGAGCAAGGCCAAGACCGCCGCCCTCGCCCAGCAGAAGACCGATGCGAAACGGGATGCGCTTATGGAATTGTACATTAACGCCTCCAACTTCATCGTCACCGAGGAGGAACTGAACGAGGAGCTGGACAGGCTGTTCGCCGAGGATTTCTGGAAGCGCCAGGGCCAGTCTATGGTCATGGACCAGGAGAACGCTTGGGACGTCTGGGGAGCGCCCCCAACGGTGCAGACCATGTTGGAGGAAATGTTCAAGAGAGAGACAAACGCCATCGACTCGCAGCAGACCGAAGGAACCAGGTCCGTCAACAGACAGAAGACAATTGCCGAGGAGTTGACCGGTGGCAAGATGAAGGGTTCAGACTAAAGAGCCGGCTCAGCTGGCGGGTCGTACACAAATTGCGGTTCAGCCCTGTAAAATCTCACGTCTTCAGTTGTGGTGGCTTGAACCAGACAGCATCCGCATGTCACGCCTGGGTGCAGTGTCGCCTCGGGTGCATTCAACTTGTACTACCATAGATTCTTTGTAGCATTATAAAAAGCCATCGATATCAAACTAACAAGACGTACATGTCCTCCAACGCCGAAGAACCCCATATGCACATTGACAGGCTTTTGCCAGTCGAAATAGAAACTGTTATGTGTCTGCGGGATCTCTATGAAAACGACCGGAGCCGCCACGTTCTTGATGCTGGCGGCCTTGATGCTCCATAATCGTACACTCGTATACCAAAGGTACTTTTGCCGCCAGCAGGCATGGCTCATTACCTCTTCTCAACGAGAAGGATGTGCATGGCAGCATAAGCAAGGATGATGAAGACGACTCCAAAGACACCGAGGCTAATAACATCGGTCCAGAGAGCATCGTTGTTGAATCCGAAGGAGCTGAGAATGGCTGCTCCAGGGACAGTGATGTCTAGTCCGTACTTCTTGTCCACCAAAGTGAGTTGGAGGACTTCGTTGACTATGAGAGACTCGAAACCGTAGTGGAAAATGGAGAGAGTCTGAAGCCAGATAGCGGCCTTAGGAATAGCGTTGTGGTTGAGCAGCAGGCCCGCAAAGAGCAAGCTGAACAGCATGACCAAGCTGCCAATCAAGTTAGCTACTCCGCCATCCTTGCAGATGATGCCGATGAACAAGCAGATGGCGGCAGCAGCCAGGTTGAAGAGGACCAGGACGAGGATGAACTTGAAGAAATGGCCGGCTTCAGGGACCAAGCCAGTCATTGGGTAAATGATGGCACCCATGAGAAGGGGAGGGATGATTCTCAATGGGACGATGTCGAACAGAAGCTTGGCCGCAAAGTATGTGATGGGATGGTAGTAGCCGTTGGCTCGCTCGCGCACGAACAAGAGCCTCTCGGTGGCAAAGACGTTCAAGCTCGTGAGTGTGCTGAACCCGAAAAGAGCCAAGAGGAAGAAGAAGAGACCCAAGCGGTTTTGGAATCCGGGAATGTCGTCAGTCAAGCCGTAAAACAGGTATCCAGACAGAACCGCGAGAAGGATGGCGATGGCGTAGTGCGTCAACATCAGAATTGGGTTTCTGTAGAGGTTCTTCCAGGTTCTGTTTGAGAGAATGATGAATTGGCGACCAAGACCGACCCGAGCATAGCCCTTGCCGATGGCGCTGATGTTGATGTTGGGGCCCTCTGGGTTGTATCCGTTCGCATTCTGGCCGTTGGCGCCTCGGGCAGCCGAAATCGATTGCTGGATCTCATCGTGTGTGGAACCAGCGATATCCGACTCCGCAAAGGATCTGATCAACATGTCCAGATCGGTACCGATGTAGGCAGCAGGGGGAAGATCATGGGGATCCTCAACGTTGATCGTGGGAACAAAGCCAGCAGGTTGGTTCTGTAGCTTGTAAGATCCAACATCCTCACCGCCAGCGTCGGAGGAAGCCGCAGTGTCGACAGTGTTCTTGCGACGCGTGTAGAGCTCCCGCTCCTGACGAATCCTGACCGAGTCGCGGCGGCTGTTCTTTGGGCGCGAAGTGGAAGATTCGACACCACTGTCCTCAGCAATGCTTCCAGGGATGCTCGCAATGGACTTAACAGCAGTAGTGCTGCTGGGTCCCAGGCTGGCGACTTCCGCGTTGAGGGTGCCATCATCCTCTGACGTAGTAGATCCGGCATGCATCGTGAGGTCGACGAGGTAGTCTGCAATGTTGAAACCGGGGGGGCATGAGTATCCAATACGGTCGAAGTAGCCCTGGCATTGCGAAAAGGGGCCAGAGTAGACTGCGCCTCCGCGCGCCAGCAAGATGAGTCGGTCGAACAGCGCCACAATGTTGGATCGCGGCTGGTGAATCGTGAAGACAACGGTTCGCTTGTAGTTCTTGGCCAAGGTGACCAGGCACTCGATGACGTTGAAGGCATTGTAGGCGTCGAGGCCGCTAGTAGGCTCATCCAAGAACAGAATCGAGGGGCTGGTGACAAGTTCACAGGCGATACCAACTCTGCGTTTCTCTCCGCCAGAGATACCTCGGCCCTTGCCTTCCTCAGAGCCAATCAGCGAATCACGAATGTGGTAGATTCCGAGTTGCTTCTCGACTTCGAAGACGCGCTGTTCCTTGGCGGTTCGGCCCATATTGCGAGGCAGACGAAGAAGCGCGCTGTTGAGAATAGTCTCATGCACCGTGAGGGTGGGCAACATCGTGTCTTCCTGGTCGACGAATCCGATGACATTCTTGTAGTCCGTGTCGTTTACCTTTTCACCGTTGACGAAGAAGTCGCCAGAAATGTTACCGCGCTTGTTCTTCCGAGCCAGGATATCAAGGAACGTAGTTTTTCCAGCACCCGATGCACCCATGATGGCGGTGACCTCTCCGGGATGGGCCATGCCTTGGATGTTGTTCAAGATCCTCTTGCCGTTGAGCTCGTAGGCAACATTCTCGAAGTACAGAGAGGCAGGCTTGTGGTTGGTCATAAGCTTCAAGCTCTCATCATCCGAATCATCCAAAGCGATAGCGCCATAGTTAAACTGCCTTCTAGACAGGTACCAGGTGAGAAGAATGATGGCAACGACAAACAGGGAGCATGCCGCGATGATACTGGCGATAAGTGGAGTGTTGATCTTCTTGACGGGGCGCTCGTAGCCAGGGACCTCGGTGTGGTACAAACACTCGCCGGAACGGCAAGTGAGCTGGATGCTGCTGTCGCCGATCAGCTGAAGGATGAGATCGTCCATTGCGGGCTCTTTAAACGCGCAGTTGTTGATCCCTCCATTCTTTTGAAGACACTCAAACTCGGCGGGGCCCTTGATCTCCTCGACGAGGAAGTCGCTGATGTCGACGGAACCATTCTCGCCACAAAGCATTCGCTCGGAGATGCAGTTGCACTCGATCTTGTTGCACTTGTAATCGGTGCTGTTCTGGCTCTCATTGATATCGGCCTTGGACGAGCACTCGGTCAAGTGGCAGTAGAAGGACTCGCGCTCGTCAACCCAGACTGAGGATGGTTAGCAACAGATATTGACTCGTAGCTTGAAGCGCAAGGACTCGGCTCGGACTTACATTGGAAGTCACAGTTACCCTCCTCTTTCTTACAAGTGAAGGTAACCTGGGGTCGCTTGTCGCCCAGAAGGTCGGTAATCTTCTTGTTGGTGACATCACAGATCTGGTAGTTGTGGTTGATGACCTCGCCATTCTGGTAGCACACGCCACCCTCTTGAGAGGGCATTAGAGCATTACACGCCTGGTTGCTCGTGCAGACGTTGCAGTTGATGCCGGTCCAGCCGTCGTCGCATTCGCAAAGGTCGCCAGATCGTCGTGGCCTGTCGGTGTTGTCGCCACGAGAGAGGGAACCGCAAACTATCGGGGGTGTCAGTGATGCGCCTCGCTTGTGCGACAAAGCGGTTCCAAAGTGGGCGGCGTACGTGGTTCGAGGCAGTCGTCACCGCCGAAACCCTCGGGACAGTTGCATTTGCCTGTATAGTCATTGCAGCCGGCGAACTGAGTGCACTTGTGGGCGGGAAGGAGACAGTTGAAGCTGCGCGCAATGTTGTCAGCCTTGGGGTCATGGTCGCAATTCCGACAGCGGTTCGGAGTGCCAGTAGCGGATTCGACGAGGTCGCAAAAGGCGAGATGGAACTCACCAGGGAGGGCAGTTGTCGGGACGATCGTCAAGCAGCGTCAGCTGAGCTCGCAGCATATCGGCGGTGGAATAGTTGCGCTGGGCCATGGCGAATGTTGGAAGACACGCCAGGGCCCCGATGAGGAGACTCCTCAGGCTTGGAGGAGCCATGATGGGCGTTTCGATGAAGAGACGACGCCGCACCGATAAGCGGACGAAGGAGCGGGCTCGGTGTTATCGTCGATGATGAAGGCGACTAAAGGAAACAGACGATGTCAGAAGAGAAAAGGAAACATGAAGGTAAGCAAACGGAGTGATGGATGAATGGCAGCAGAGCGGCGGATGGCGAAGAAGCTCTGGCTCGGGTTGGCTGTGGTAGCAGGAAGAAGAGAGCGGAAGATAGGTAGGCAGGCAGGTAGGTAGATGGGCAGATAGACGACGTACCTGTGACCTTGTGGCACCGCAGTCCAAGCTGGCCGAGTGACGGAGCCGGTACCTTGCTGAAGGAGGAAGCTGGGGTAGGTTCCCAAGAAGGTCTTAGGTCGTGGGTGTTTGTAGGTGAGTACGTACACACGGCCGATAATAACCCGCGTGCCCGCTTGGCTCCCACGTCCCACGTTCCGCCGCCCAGCAACGCGCCGCACACCTCAGTTACAGCGACCTGGACACCTGTACGGTGGCGTCACAGTGGACACGTCTACCCCACTGCGCCTGTCGGAAACACGCACCAGCGTCCCGTGGGGTGGCTGAACTCCAACAAGTGCTTCCACATGGAAGTACAAACACAACGCAACAGAGTTCGGGTGCCTGATCTTGGTTGCGCTGTTTTCCGCTGCCCGCTCAGGCAACCAGCTGCGTGGGACGGGACGGCGGGCAGACTGACGCTAAGAATAACCCCCAACAATCTGTCTGTCTGTACCTGTATTTGTGAGAGGCAGACAACAGGGAACACGCCAGGAGCCAGATCCATGAGCATTACACTGTTGCTAAAATCTACCCGCTCATCTGGCGGCGAATTGCCCATTGAAACGACGCCTCGCAATGCGAATCCGGTCCTAAGCGCAAAGTAAGCCACATGTTGACAAGACAAGCACAGAACATTACGCAGTCCATCTGACATGTTAATCTTCAGCCCACACATGCCCAAGGGTGGACATCTGTCCCGCCATGTCAACGACTGGTACCTCTAGCAAAAGAACAGCGTGTCTTGGCTGCGACATGGCCAACTCCTTCTCTCGGATGAATACAGTATATAGTCAGCATCCAGGACAGGACCCCGCCCTCTCAAAATCATGCTTTCTGCGACGACTGACACTGCCGTCAGATCCTGGGCGGATTCGAGAGCTGGGGAAGTGTGGAGAAGCCTCGTAACAAGGATGTCTAGATCCCACCCGACCGTCCGCCAATGTGGTTTGTAACTCAAGAAGAAGGGAAGAGCATGGCCAAAAGTCAGGCCAGACCAAACAGTTGTTGGTTCAGCTACGACATTGCGGCCAGAGGATTGGTCTCGTGAGCGGTAGCCCATCTAAGCCACAGCCGAGGCACTCGAATGCCCCGGTGGCATGTTTCTAGTGGGCTTCTCAACATGCTTTTAAGCATTCCACTTAGTGAAATCCAAAGGCGCCAAGATAGAGGTTTACAGTCCGATCTACCGTCTTGTAGTCCGCTATTATCAAAGGATTGGCAAAGTGAAATCAATTCGAGCCGGCCATAGACGCTTTATCTCTTTCTTTTGCGTGAGTCGGGTCTCTTGGGCATGTGGCGGAAAGTGATTCCGGCAGGTCAGAGCTCGAAGCCCACGCAGTCTGATCTTGCTCAAGCTGCTGTACCAATGCAACCCTGGCTCGGATCTGAATACTCATTCCCAAACTCTCTTAGGGGAACCGATCCGTCTGTTTCTCTGCCCTTAGACCCTCCGGCTGGTTTCTTAGTGCTGCCGGTTCCTATCAAGCTTATGCGCGCCTGGCGCCCTGTTGACGGGTCGTTGTCATGCATTAGACTGCGGGAGGGCGCTGGTGTCTGACATGTCGCCCGTGCTCTCGGAATTCACACGCAGCACCCGATACGTACTCCCACGTTAAAAGGTCGAAGCGGTCTTCAAAGTTACCGCTAGCAACTGTTTGAGAACCTCGAATTCGGTCTCCGTAAGGCCTTGGCATTGTGTCAATTCAGTTCTACGATTTCGTCTACCGAAACCGTCTTCACTACTGCCCATCGAGTTGTCAATTGTTCCCTATAGCGGAATCCTTCAACATGGTCCGAATTGCGGCCTTCGAGGTGGAGCAATGGATGGACGAGTATGAGACTACCCCGGGATGCCTCAACATCGCCGAAACCTGCGCCGCCTCCGTCTCCGTGGATGAGTTGATGGCACTCTCCGAGGACAAGAGCGCTCCAGGCCCGATCGACTTCTCCACCAAGCTCGTCTACGGACCCATTCGCGGCTCTGATCCCCTCCGACAACGGGTTGCCCAACTGTGCGGTAGTGACGGTTCGGGAGCCCGAAGCATTCTTGAACAGGACGATGTTCTGATCACCCAAGGCGCTATCGGAGCCAACTTCCTGTTGCTCTACACCCTCGTCAACCCCAGCGACCACGTCATCTGTGTGTATCCCACGTATCAACAGCTCTATGGCGTTCCCGAGAGTCTGGGCGCGGATGTCTCACTATGGAGATTGAAGAAGGAGAATGGCTTTGTCCCCGATGTCAAAGAACTTGAGGGTCTCGTGAAGTCAAATACAAAGGCATTCCTCTCTCTCGTCCTCTATGGTTTTGTTGACTAATAGTATTGCAGATGATCATCATCAACAATCCCAATAACCCCACAGGAGCACCAATCCCCATCACAGTGCTCAAGGACATCGTCGCCTTTGCCAAAAATCACAACCTCATCCTCTTCTCAGACGAGGTTTACCGCCCGTTGTTTCACAACTTCTTCGAGGATGGCTCCGAAGTGCCGCCTCCGGTCACCACCTTTGGCTACGAAAAGGTTATCGTCACAGGTTCCATGTCCAAGTCTTATGCGTTGGCTGGCATCCGGATCGGCTGGATCGCATCAAAAGACAAGGGCATCATCCAGGCAATCGCTTCAGCAAGAGACTACACCACCATAAGCGTGTCTCAGATAGATGACCAGATCGCTTCTTACGCCCTTTCGCAGCCAGTCTGGAGGCCATTGCTGAAGCGTAACGTCGCGCTCGCTAACAAGAACAAGGCGTTGCTAGAAGCCTTCATCGAAAAGCATAAGAACGTCTGCTCATGGGTCAAGCCCAAGGCGGGAACCACGGCATTTGTCCAATTCACCCATGGCGGAAAGCCGGTAGATGATGTCAAGTTTTGTCTGGATGTTCTCAACAAAACGAAGGTGTTCTTCGTACCTGGGTCCAGGTGCTTCGGAGACGGGAAGGACTTCCCGGGCTATGTCCGCATTGGCTATGTGTGCCACACGGAGGTGCTCAAGGCAGCCCTGGAGAAGCTCGAGAAATACGTGGAGGCCAATCTTTCATAGCCGAGAAACATTGAAATCCACAAGACAATGATTGAAAGAAAAGAATGCCATTCGTGAATGCCACCAAATGCCTGACCCGTCGCCGTTGAACCGGCCGGTGTAATCCCGCAGCAGCGATTCGTCCAGCTCCGGGAATGCCCCACTTCTCCACGAAAACACGTGCCGTCGCGGCCGGCGCGAATTCGGACCCCTGCAAAAAAAGTTTCGCATGCATTGTGTGGGATTGCAAAAAAAGTGCGCCATCAGACCATCCTGTCTCCAATGGGTCCCATCTCCCTCTTTTCGTAGTTCTACCTACTCCATTCTTTCCCTTCTGTATACGCCGCATACGCTTTTGGTCACGATGAGGGCTCCCAGGGCCGTCAGAGTGCCGAATGGCGGCCTCTTTACAGGCGCAAAGCCTTCGAGTCGGCCTTTCAGCATCGCCGTCAAGGTGAAGGCTGCTGCTCCTGCCGCCGCCACCACTCAAGCGACCCCGGCATCATGGAAGCTCGCGAGGCGTGCATTCTCCACGACCCCCCGCGTGCGGTCTGCCGCCCAAGAGGCTTTGAAGCTGGCTCAGGAGAACGCCGCTGCCCTGACCCCCGAGGTCGTCGCCGCCAAGATGAGCCCCGAGGAGGCCCAGCGTCTCTCCCGCGTGCGCAATATCGGTATCGCCGCCCACATCGACTCCGGAAAGACGACATGTACCGAGCGAGTTCTCTTCTACTCTGGCAAGATCAAGGCTATCCACGAGGTCCGCGGAAAGGACTCCGTCGGCGCCAAGATGGACTCTATGGATCTCGAGAGAGAAAAAGGCATCACCATCCAGTCTGCGGCTACCTTCGCCGACTGGACCAAGAAGGAAAACGGAAAAGACGAAACATACCACATCAACATCATCGATACCCCCGGTCACATTGACTTCACCATCGAGGTCGAGCGCGCTCTGCGTGTTCTCGACGGTGCCGTCATGATTCTCTGCGCCGTCAGCGGTGTCCAGTCCCAAACCATCACCGTCGACCGTCAGATGAAGCGCTACAACGTCCCCCGCATCAGCTTTGTGAACAAGATGGACCGCATGGGTGCCAACCCCTGGAAGGCCGTCGAGCAGATCAACAAGAAGCTCAAGATCCCCGCCGCCGCGATCCAGGTCCCCATCGGTGCCGAGAACGAGTTCCAGGGCGTCATTGACATCATCGAGAAGAAGGCTTACTACTTTGAGGGCCCCCGTGGCACCCAGGTCAGGGTCGCCGAGGTCCCCAACGGCTATGCAGACATCGTCGAGGAGAAGCGCCAGGAACTCATCGAGAAGCTTGCCGACGTCGACGACGAGATTGCCGAAATCTTCCTCGAGGAGCAGACCCCTACCATTCCCCAGATCAAGGCCGCCATCCGCCGTTCTACCATCGCCCTGAAGTTCTCCCCCGTCATGATGGGTTCCGCCCTCGCCGACAAGGGTATCCAGACCGTCCTCGACGCTGTCTGTGACTACCTGCCCAACCCCTCCGAGGTCGAGAACAAGGCTCTGGACAGGAAGCGCGACGAGACCGAGGTCAAGCTGGTGCCCTACAACTCGCTCCCTTTCGTCGGACTCGCCTTCAAGCTCGAGGAGAACAACTACGGCCAGCTCACCTACATCCGCGTCTACCAGGGCAAGCTCCGCAAGGGATCCTACCTGTT